TTGGTTTAGAGACAAACCTTCAGTTATCCAATGGCTCCGTCAATCCAAAGAGCAAAACACGTGCCAAAAAGGTCAAATCTCTATCTGAGCTCTCTGCTGCTACAGTTTCAAAAATTCCAAAATTTTTCCTTAACATTATTTATGCAGAGATGATTTGGCCTGAGAAGATTAATAGCTGGGAGTCTGAAGTCAGGAATGTCACTGTAGAAGGAAATGATTATGCTTGGTTCTATAAACCCGAGTTTAGTCCTGTCAGGAAACAATTTGAAGTGCGATGCATCGACTCCACACATCTGCTTACTAGAACTAGAAGCAAGACCTGTAAAGGAGGAATAGAAAACTTGACCAATGACAGTTGGATGAAAGTTGCCCGTTCTGGTAAAACTCTCTTGACACCAGTTATAATACAGGAAATAGTAGACCCAATGTCAGTGTCTATGGCTGTAACACATTTTTCAGAACAAGTAGAATCAGTTATGAGATTACATGGGGATATTGCAAGTGCCGATCTTTGTTGTGACGTGCGCATGTGGTGGCAGTCAGAAGATGATCCTGGGATTAACTCAACAGAAAGGCACAATATGAGGATGAATTTGAGAAGGCGTCTCTTAAACCATGTTCAATTTAACGAATTTCCTCCACCCACTATGTACATTGGGGGATGGCCATGTCAGCTATGGGAAGCAATACTTTCTAGTATAGATGCAAAAGCATGGTTGTATTCTTTTTGTCACGAAGGTTCTTATAATGTCAGGGCATTTAGCATTATGATTGGGGAGACATTTTTCTCTGAATTGACCATGAATGACAGGAGAGGACAGGGAACAGTGTCTTGTCAAGAGTTTGGCCAATTCATCGGAAATATACAATCGAACAAGTCCAAATACGACTAGACCCTGAAAGGTATGGTCAAAAAAGGAATTAACACTTACAAGTGATAATCAAACTACTAGTATTTAAGAGCCATTCTCTGTAATGATTTGAAATTTTATATAGGAGCTGTGGCACGCATAGTCTCAGAATTTCTCCAAACTCTCTATGATAAAAGTCATTGATACCCTAAACTGAAATCAGGCAAAAATTGGTTGCTATGTTTTATAGTTACCATGGCAACATGTCTTAAAGTTCGGAAAATGGCATTTTTTAACATGTTTATTAACATTTGCGGCAAAGCAAACAATTGGCAGTGACTGTTTCCAAAAGTTGAAGGTCAGATGTCTCAAATGCATGATGAACATGTTTGGTAAATCAACTATTACATACGTTACTATGGTAACAAAGTATTCAAAAGTAAAAAAAAATATTCATTGAATTTTATAAAATCATACATGTAAAAATAAAAAGCAATTATAGGATGAAATGTGACCAAATAATAGAAAAAAAGCCTTGAAACATATACCAAGAACAAAATATGATATTTCATTTTGGTTGGCAATGGTTGCCAAGGTTTTTATACCACAGGGAGCCTTCAAAGTAACACTCTGTATGTTTAAATCTGATCCTATCTTTAAAAAAAAGCACATTTCCTCATAACTAATGATCAATTTTATAAGATGTTGGTGTGCTCCAAGTTTTCCCATTTGAAAAAATTCAGATTAGATTCTTTAAATAGAGCGTTGCTATGGAAATAAGTAAAAAAAATATGCTTAAAAACCTGAAAAATATTTTCTTTCCTTGGATACGTACCCTTAAATGTAGATTCCCAAAACTTTTATGATTGATATTTATAAACAGCTAACTTGACTTTTAATTTTGACTGTCATCCAATCTCTAAGTGGATGCAAGAAGTTGGCACACAGGGTTTAATATTGATATAAAGTTCACAAAATCGAACATTTTCCCTTCTTGGTAACCATAGCAACAGTGTTGTTTTATTCACCCAATTTTATCAATATATGATATGCAACTTCAGTTCTAACAGATAAGTACTTTTCAAGCTGAGTCCTTTAATTTGTTTCTTGATTAAATGGCAATTTAATTCTTAATGCAGCGAAAAATAATTCACTTTTAAGCACTGGTACTTTGTTTCCATGGTAACACTGCAAAGTAGCATTTATACCCAATTTTTCTTATGGTTTTGGTATTGCAAGGTCCTAAGGATGCATATTTGCCAATCTTGAATTTTCATGTTTTTCCTCAAGACAGTAGCAATAACCCAATCTTAGTTACTGGTTTTGCATGGTTACACTGTGTTACCATGGCAACCATAAAAGTTATTTATAGAATAATATTGCTCATACTTATATACTTAAGGTCAAACATTTTCATTGTTTTTCTTAAGTCTTTGATTGAGTTTGAGCATGTAACACCTACCATTAGTGAATACGGAGTGTTTTGCAGCATATTTCAGCATTTTAAATGTATTCCAAATGTACCCTTGGTTACCATTTACTTAGAGATATATTCTAAACAGTTTCTTTACAGTATAAGTGACATCAAGGTGTCATGTTTTTGTGAGAATGGTTTGTATGCTTTTTCTAGTTTTTATTAAGCCACGGTCAAGATTTAAAGTGGCTGAAAATCTCGATTTTTCAAACTTTTCTGGCTGTTGCCATAGCAACCGAGACACATAGCAACGAAATTTTGTTTGATATTTGTTTCTGGTGTCAAGTACTAAGCATGGGTGAAGTTTCATCAAAATCAGTGACCATGCGTGGCAACAAAGTTTAAGTGGTTACAGAGAATGGCTATTAATGACTGTGTTCCCTCATATTTTGATTAATTAAAGAATATTTTCTTGAGATCTAAACAAAATGTTTTACGTAAGACATTGCATTACTTGGAAATGCTATATCGTTTTCTCTTCAGTCACAAAATGAAATTCACAATGTATAATGAACATAAAGAATATTGATATATGTTCACTGATTGATTAAGTGATTTTCATTTTTCAAAAATATTATCTAATACTTCTTTCAGGTCATTTTCCTATCGTACCAAGCGATCCACAGTTTACCATTTGGTTGACGGTACTGACTCTGTAGATCAGGAAAGCATCCATGTCTCCAGTAGAAAGGATATACATGAAATGCCAATAGATATCAATTTCAAGTATGTCTCTATTTTATTACAGATTCTTTCAGTGAAATGACTCGTTGCAATAATAATGTTGATATCCACATCAGTTGCTATACAAGTCAATATCCATATTCATTCTTTGATATGTCTTGATCATAAGAGCAGCGATTTAAAAAATAATTAAAAACTCTATTCATATTTAATTTTACGGGGTAAATATCCACATTTTTTCCCAGATAGCGAAATAGTATAATTAAAACGGTTGTAATATTTTCCCTACATATATAATAAAAACTATCTTGGTTTAGTTAACTATAACTTTTTTTTATTTTTATCTGAATTTTATTCCAATTTCAGATATATCATCCTTTTGATACACAGCAACGGAAACGTGTATGTGGAAGGCGTAAGACTTGGACAGTAATCACGGAGAGAAATTCGTTACAGAAGGGGTCGCTGGGTGTTAGATGGGAAAAGGAACGCTGTAATCAATAAAAAATCTTGCCAACTGCAAAAATGGGGTTATTGTAATTACATGTTGCCTATGTTCATATAAAGTATGAGTCTACAATAAATTGATATAAACTTTAAGTAAATCAGTGATTTATTTTAAAAAAGGTTTGATATTTCACATGTACAATAACAAGAACATTTGCAAGTATTGCTGTGAGGTCAAATCTCCATTTCCTTTAATGAAGAAGTTGATGGTCAGGAGCTACCAAATATAAAAAAAAAGATGCAATGGCCAAATATATTGTGAATTGTTGCTTTGATTTACACATTCTTTTGTGTCTATATAAGTTTGTTTGATGCCTAAACGATCTACCACAAGGACATCTATGATTTTTTTCCTCTGTGTGAGTAGTCATGTGATCCAGATGTGCTTGTTTTTTTCTTGACGACAGTCCACAAATTTCACATTTGAACTGGGGTTCCTCGTGGTTTCTTATGTGACGATTCAAATCTGCTTTAATAGCAAACTTTTTCCCACATAGATCACATGTAAATTATTTTTCTTCGCCATGCACCGAACATCTGTAAAGATGAAAAGAAAACCTGTATGGAATAGGCGGAAATAGATCGAGAAGAGCCCTATTTTTCTTCAATGAAGTATTACGAAATGCCATTATGGACACAGACAATAAAAATGTCATTTTCAGAGCGTTGTACATATTTTACACTTACAGGAATAGTACTAGAGAAATATACATTTAGTTAATATTTTAATATTAGCCTCTCGTTTAAGGACATTCACCTTCCCCCCCCCCCCCCCCCCAACCACCACCACCACCTGCGGTAGTTGTAAAAGTTAAAGATTTAATTTCTAAAAAAATGTCTAATAAAATATATAGTTACCTGTGTCTTTTCAGATTAGCTCTGCTATAGAATTTCTTTCCACAACACATGTAGGGCGCCTTCCCCTCATGTCCCTTCTCATGGTCGTAGACCGCGGACCTACTATGGAACACTTTCCCACAATATTTACAAAGTCTTGTATCCATCTTGTGCTTCAAAATACAAAGATTGGAATTCTTTATCTGTAATTTTGCATCTGAAATTGCAGAATTCTTACCAATATTTAATTCTGATCGTGGGACTGATCGTTATATTTTGTATCGTGGTTACTGATCATTTCTCATGAAACAACATTTTGAGTAGTTTTTCGTAACATACACTAAATATCAAGATATGGTGAGTATCTCCACGTCACTGGTGATAAAGTTATTATCTTGGTACTATGTAAAACGCATTGAATTCCTAATAAATTGCTAATGAATTGTAAAAGACATTAAGTCCGTGGAAACAATCCCGAGCAACTTTGGCTGATTCGGAGATTGTGCACGAATGTTCTCGCTATACGCTCAAAACTCCGACATTACTGGATTAACACCGTATCTATTGTGAAAATAGTTATACTTTGGCGAGGGTTAGATGGTGAAAAACATAGAGGAAAGTATTACTTACTGTTCAAATTTCCCTCGATGTGGAACTTCAAACCGCCATTTTTCCGTGGAACTAATCAATCGCGTATCACGTGGTCTGCCACAGTGTTAGTACGATGAAAAATCTTTATTATTGATATTTTTAAGGAAATCAAATCAAAAGTTTGAAAATACAAATATCATCAAATTATTATATAGCTTCACGTTATTTTACGATTTTACGTTATGAAAATCCCTGAAGTCACACACGCGTACACCATACTTCAAAGTAAATATTCCATCTTTTTCATGCGATATTTTACACATTTATACACAGAAATATATGTCATGTTATACATCAAATGAAAGAGAAAGAAAAACTCTACAAGAATCAATAAAAAACTGAAAAATGTCAAAATTCTTCGTCAAGGGAGGTTTTTGCTTGGCGCAAATTTTGCTTGAAATTTTCGCGAATTCACTGTCTCAGATAATTACGCAAAAATAAAGTTCTCGCAAATAAAAAGTGATTTACAGTATATAAATGCATTATTTCTTTGAAAGTCTTCTTCTCTGCTTCTGGGTATTAAATAAACTAATTATGTACATAGTTAACGTTGAACAAGCCTGCCTATTCCAAAATTGTGAATTTCATGGCCCCTGGGTGAGGGGTTCTGGTGTTAGGATGCATGGGGCTCTATTGATTATATAGTGAAAATGCATAAATTCTTTAAAAATCTTCTTCTCTGCTCCTGGGTATTGAATATTATTTCTTAGTACATAGTTATGATAAGCATAGATGCCCCAAAATTGTGAATGCCATGGCCCCTTGGTCAGGAGTTCTGGTAACAGGATGGGGCTTTATTGATTATTATATAGATAAAATATATTTTTTCTTTGAAAAATTGAAAGATCATTTAAGTTCTCCGAATGTAACCCATAGTGAAATGAGACCAGATGTAGTCAAGGTGTACTGACTTTTCCCTTGTTCAATGCATCAGAGTAAAACACTGTGTTTATAATTAGAAATGGTAATTCCATCATTTAATTTTCAACTGATCATTAGAAATGACAGAAATTTTGTCTTTTAAAATTATTGGACGATTATGTGTATTTTTAGATGTTTTTAAAATGTGTCTTTTTGCCCCCCCCCCCCCCCCCTTATCCTCTAATATTGAAACATCTATAATATGAATTTCATTTAATATTATTTAACCAGAATTTCAAAGTTAATTAGATTTATATATGTGCATATTTTGATATATTTTAAAATATAATGCCAAATATAAAAGACATGGACACTGTGACATTACTTTTGGATCAACCCTTGTAGTTAAGTGTACAAAAGTATTGTTACTTGTAATTTTAAAATTCTATATAATTTTGGAAATAATATTTTACAGGAGAAGTTCACTAACAGTGTGGGATAACAACTACTGGTTGGATATCAATTATCTCCACATAGCCAAGGCTGCTTTGTCCTGCTCTGCACATTTCTCCGCAGTTTTTTATGCGGAGATTTGGTGTAACTACCAGAGGTTTGTATATTACAATTTTCTATTGCGTTTTTTAACTCACCTGAGCCGAAGGCTCAAGTGAGCTTTTCTGATCACATTTTGTCCGGCGTCCTTCTGTCTGTCTGTCTAGCTGTCTGTCCATTTGTCTGTCTGTAAACTTTTCACATTTTCGACTTCTTCTCAAGAACCGCTGGGCCAATTTCAACCAAACTTGCCACAAAACATCCTTGGGTGAACGGGATTCAAGTTTATACAAATGAAGGGCCAGACCCTCATTCAAGGGGAGATAATTGGGAGTTAATGAAAATTTGGTGGTATGTCTTAAAAATCTTCTTCTCAAGAACCACTGTGCCAGGAAAGATGAAACTTATGGGGAAAGATCCTCAGGTAGTGTAGATTCAAGTTTGTCAAATCATGACCCCCGGGGGTAGGGCGGGGCCACAATGGCTGACCAAAGTTTTACATAGAAATATATAGGAAAATTCTTAAAAAATCTTCTCAAGAATAGCAAAGCCATAATTGATCATATTTATATGGAAGCATCCTCAGGTAGTGTAGATTCAAGTTTGTTCAAATCATGACCCCCCAGGGGTAGGGCGGGGCCAAAATGGCTGACCAAAGTTTTACATAGAAATATATAGGAAAATTCTTTAAAAATCTTCTTCTCAAGGATAGCGAAGCCATAATTGATCATATTTATATGAAAGCATTCTCAGGTAGTGTAGATTCAAGTTTGTTCAGTTTTTTACATAGAAATATATAGGAAAATTCTTTAAAAATCTTCTTCTCAAGGATAGAAGCCATAATTGATCATATTTATATGAAAGCATTCGGGGGTTCAGTTTGTTCAAATCATGCGGGGCGGGGCCAAAATGGCTGACCAAATTTTTACATAGAAATATATAGGAAAATTCTTTAAAAATCTTCTTCTCAAGAATAGCGAAGCCATAATTGATCATATTTATATGAAAGCATTCTCAGGTAGTGTAGATTCAAGTTTGTTCAAATCATGACCCCCGCGGGTAGGGCGGGCCAAAATGGCTGACCAAATTTTTACATAGAAATATATAGGAAAATTCTTTAAAAATCTTCTTCTCAAGAATAGCAAAGCCAAAATTGATTATATTTATGTGGAAGCATCCTCAGGTTGTGTAGATTCAAATTTGTTCAAATCATGACCCCCGGGGGTAGGGCGGGACCAAAATGGCTGATCAGAGTTTTAAATATGCAAATATATATAAGAAAATTCTTTAAAAATCTTCTTCTCAAGAATAGCAGTGCCATAATTGATCAGATTTATATGGAAGCACCCTCAGGTAGTGTAGATTCAATTTTGTCCAAATCATGACCCCTGGGGGTAGGGCGGAGCCACAATGGCCAATCAAAGGTTTACATAGACATATACAAAAAAAATCTTTAAAAATCATCTTGTCAATAATAGCAAAGCCATGATTGCATGGTCATGGGACTACTTTTGGATTTAAACTTTTCAATAATAAACCAATTTCTGCTTTTTCCTAGCCACAGTGCTCAGGTGAGCGATGTGGCCCATGGGCCTCTTGTACAAATTGTTATGAATATTCTGTCAAATCAACTTCGACAAAGAAATGCATAAAGATTTTTAGATAACCTTAGTAAACTCAGGTGTCCTATTGCTATCCATTTTCATCTGTCGCAGTACGACGTGTCATGTGTTAACATTTTCAGCTTCTTCTCTGAAACAGCTGAACCAATTTCAAGCAATTTTGACATATAGCATCTATAGGTGAAGGGGAACAATACTGTGAATTTCATGGTCCCTGCACCCCTGGGGGTGGGGCCAAAAATCAGTAAAATTATTGCAAATTTTAAAAATCTTCTTCTTTACTCCTGGACATCAAGCAGTCAAACTGTTGGTATGATTTGTAATCAGCATTGAGTCCTCTACCAAAATTATGAAATTCATGGACCCATGGTCAGGTGTTCTAGTGCTAGGGCGGGACTAAATAGATTATTTTGTGAAAATGCATTATTTCTTTAAAATTCTTCATTTCTGCTCCTGGGCATTAAATAACCTAACAAAGTGTATATATAAGTTGAATATGGCTGCCTCTTCCAAGATTGTGAATCTCATGACATCAGGGTCAGGGGTTCTAGTGCTAGGGTGGGGCTATAAAGATTTTATAGTAAAGATGAATTATTTCTTTGAAAATCTGGTGGGTATTAAACCAATGAACTATGTACATAGTTATGAGGAAGAGGGATGCCTCTTTGAGATTTTTGAATTTCAAGGCCCATAAGTCAGGTCTTCTTGTGTTAGGGCGGGGCTCTTATGTTTATATAATGAAAGTGCATGAATTCTTTGAAAATCGTTTCCTTTGCTCTTGGGCATTATGCCAATGATCTAAGTACGTATTTATGATGAAGAAAGCTGACTTTCCAAAATGGTTAATTTTTGGGCCCCTGGTTCAGAGGTACTTGGAGGGGGGGGGGGGGGGGGGGGGGGGGGTACATTATCTGAAATTCTACTACGATTATTGGCTACTTCAAAGGAAAGCTGCAGACATTATTCTCCAATAAATCACGAACGTCATCAAAAAATTATCAGATCAGGAACATGTATAAAACCTGTGCAGTTGAAATGTACATTTGACTTAAGAATGAAATACGTATTTAAACCACGTTGATGTGTCGTCTTTTGCAATTTAAACACTGTATATTGCAGAAAGTAGCTGATGAATGTAGGTTTCTAACACAGGGGCCTGTAACATACTGTATTTGATGTTACGTAATCACTATATGTATACAAAAAGAGAAAGGGAAACAACGTCGGCTCGAATTTACACAGGGTCGATCTCGGAAATGACTCGTGTTTTCAATAAAATACCTTGCAGTTAGTGAAATAACGTCTGGGATCATTCAGTAATAATCACTCTTTAATAAAAATACCATCGCGGTCATTTAAGAATTGTGTAAGTCGTGTTTTGCAGATCCGATTTCCTGTCATGCAAGTGATGTAGTTTAAGTCGTCCGCTAAATTCGCTAAACATTGCATCCAATATTTAACGCGAGATGTGATTGGTCAATTGTGCTTTTCTAGAACAGATCGGACCAATCACTCTCCGCCTTTTACCAATCATGGGTTTTCCCAAAATTTCGTCTGTTCTGGGCTCGAGCCTCTCTGTGAACGAAAAAAGCTACCGTATTTATTCAAATCGGAGATGTTGTACCTTTTAATTGCAATTAACAAAAGAAAAAGATGAATTTCGTGAATGCTGGATCTTTACTTTGTGTTTTCCATCTCCGGAAAGACTTCAAAACTGGAGAAAATGTGGGAATTTTGCCTCGTTTTAGTGGACGACTTAACGTACATCGACTCGTACAACGGGATATCAAGTAAATATAACCCAACTTAAACACTATAAAAAGTAACGAGGTTTCTGTTTTATTAAAGAATATTTATTGTAGTATGATTTCTAGTTATAATTTAATTGGCTACATTCTTTTTTCTATGAAATACGAAATATTTCTGAGATCGACCCTGTGTAAATTCGGGCTTACGTTGTTTCCCTTTCCTTTTTAGGTCACCTGAGTAAACTCAGGTGACCTATTGCTATCTGTTTTCGTCCGTCATCGTGCGTCGTTCGTCGTGTGTTAACATTTGAACATTTTCAGCTTCTTCTCTGCAACCACTGAACCAATTTCAACCAAATTTGGCACAAAGCATCTATTGGTGAAGGGGAACAAAAATTGTGAATTTCATGATCCCTGCCCCCCTGGGGCCTGAGGGGTGGGGCCAAAACCACTAAAATTAATGCAATCTTTAAAAATCTTCTTCTTTACTCCTGGACATCAAGCAGTCCAACTGTTTGCATGATTGTAATCAGCAATAAGTCCTCTACCAAAATTGTGAAATTCATGGCCCCAGGGTCAGGGGTTCTAGTGCCAGGGCGGGGCTAAATAAGTAGGTAGTGAAAATGCATTATTTCTTTGAAAATCTTCTTCTCTGCTCCTCGGTATTAAATAAACCAACTAAGTACATAGTTATGATGAGCAAGAGTGCCTCTACCTAAATTGTGAATTTTATGGCCCCAGGGTCAGGGGTTCTGGTGTTAGGGCGGGGCTCTATTGATTATATAGTGAAAATACATGAATTCTTTGAAAATCTTCTTCTCTGCTCCTGGGTATTAAATAAACTAACAAAGTACATAATTATGATGAGCAAGAGTTCCTCTACCAAAATTATGAATTTTATGGCCCCAGGGTCAGGGGTTCTTGTTTTAGGGTGGGGCTCTAATGATTATATATAGTGAAATGCCTGAATTCTTTGAACATCTTATCCTTTGCTCCTGGTTAATATACTAATGATCTAATTACATATTTAAGGCCAGGATTTATTTCATTTTCAGTTTTACAAACCCTCCGCTCAAGGTTTTGAATTTTCAGAATAAAATAAAACAATTTTTTTTTTCCGATGTCAAATTTGAGTCGGGATAGAGATTTCAAATTTACGAACTCGCACTTCCGGTTTTACGATGAAACGGCGGGTAAATAAAGCTAGATCTGAGAAGATAGCTTGGTTTAGTGTAAAATTCATCGATAAGAGTGCCATTCAAAACGTTTCACCTGTTCAAAGGACAAATAAAATGCTGACGACTTTGTTGCACAATGACATGCTGGTGAGATAATTATGTATTCATTTCAAAAGTAACTGTAAATTATTTTCCTCCCCCAGGTTTTAAACTGCCCGTGGTAGCTATTGCATAAGGGACATTGTTTAGGTCTCTGTTATAGCTTACAGTCTAAGCATCATTCTTCAGAAAAGGGTTGCTTATGCATCAGATGTAATGAATAAAACTATGGGAGAAATGAAGTCTATTTGAGGAAGAAATAAACAATAACCTGAAGAAATAAAAAAAAAATCAACTATTAAAAAGCAAGATTATACAAATATATACAGGCATGTAGTATCATTTGTATCAGTCAGAAAAATTATTTTACACTTAATTGAAAAAATGTTGACCCTACTCCCCAATACTCCC